AAGAGCGCCTGCCCCAGGGATGAGCAGACCGGGCCACACCCTGCAGAGAAGACACAGGGTGAGCATCCTCAGACTGCTGCTCCGGTCAGGAGAGAACAGATGAACAAGGGACACACGCCCTGGTCCTGGACTAACCAAACAGACGCCAAGTGAAGCTACCCGCAGGCACACTTTATGTTCTTGGTCAGAAAACTGAGGAAGAAGTGGGTGGCAGGTGCCAGGATGCTTGTGCCCCGGAGCAGCGCTCAGCGGGAGAGCACGCGAGGGAGTGTCCCCGTCCAACATCTGCGTGTGCACGTCTGCATGTATGCATGTACCCCTAAACACAAGATGCAGACACCCGTACACATCCACGCTGAGCTCAAGGCTCCCAGGCTCCCTCCCAGCATCTGCACTGTCAAGAGCTCTCAGCTGGTCACGGTGCAGGTGACCTGCATGTCAGCTGTTCTTGTTTGGGGCTGGAGTTCTATCTTAAAAAGTCAGTATCACACAAAGGTTTCTTTTACACACGTGGAGTCTGAGGGACTTTACAAATAACAGCAGCGGAAAGTGATTTATTGCCCTGGATTAAAGGTCAGCTGGGTGTGCAGGACTCTGGAGCCAAACAACAGTATAGACTTTCTATTAACTCATCAGTGCTCCCCCAGAGTGAGAGCAGGGGAAGAGATGGAGGGAGATGAAGACAGGAAACGAGAAACAGAGAGACCTGGGGCAGACATGACACCGAGAGGGGGAGATGTGGACAGAGACAGAGGACGGAGAGGGGACAAGGCGAGGAGGAGGTCAGCTCTCAGGCACAGACCCGCCACAGTGTCACCCACCGTGGGTGGCTACGGCTTCAACTTGAACACAGAAGACTTCCGACAGCTCAAGGCACCAAAACACGCACAGCAAACCTCCTTAAAGTTGAACTGTAAAGCTGCAGGATGAAATATTTTCATGCAGCATGAAGAAGTCAAGCTATACATGTGTGTAGTCGATGCGCCAGAGCACGTCGAAGCTCTAGTCAGGAGATAATAAAAAAACCCCAAAGAGACACACGAGCCAATCTAAAAGGGCTCACAACAGCCAAAGCTGTAGCAATGTAAGCAAAATAATAAAAATCACACAATAAATTAAACCAAAATTGATTGACTATGAATAAAAGGGGAGCAGAGACGCCTTCACCTTACAGAAGAATCCCAATTAATATATGCAGATATTTCTCTCCAGGGATTAAAGCTTAATATTGTACTCTCCTTGGGGCTGGGGGTTTGGCTCAGTGGTTCCACCGCCTGCCTCACAAGTGCAAGGTCCTGAGTTCAATGCCCGGTACCGCTCCCTCAAATAAAATATTGTACTCTCCTAGACAGTAGGTAGAATTTAGGGACTTGTTTTCTAAGACAAAAAAAATTTGTAAAGGAGAAAAAAAAAAATGCAACTTTTCAGTGGAGAAACTACCAAACACTACCATGGTCAAGTGACCAGAAAGTTACGCTGATCTCCGGAGAACATCTCACTATGAATTCTCATCAAACCTTACAACCACGGTGGAATTATGACAGAAACACCAGAGAAACTGAAGTCATAGGACGTTTTATAAAATACCTAATCAGGTGTACTCCAAACTTTCATGGTCATGTCAAGATTGTGAAAAATAAGAAAATATTAAGGAACCATCACAGACCACAGAAGACTAATAGGTTACGATGACGAAATGCAACACAGCCTCTTGGGCTGGGTCCTAGAACAGAAAATGGCAAGTAGTAAAACCCAAATAAAGCCTAGAGTATAATCAATATTAATGTATCAATGCCGGTGGCTTAGCTCTGTATATGTACCACAGCAGTGTAAGACTGAACACGAAGGAAAACTGGGTGAGGGGTACCTGGAAATTTTCTGTACTCTTTTTGCTACTATTCTGTAAATCTAAAAGTAAGTTTCATTAAAAACAAAAAGCAAAGCAAAACAAAACAAAAAAACCCCCAAAACTGTGTAATCACAGTAGTTGAAAAATTCAGGTCTTGGTAACCTGTACAGAGCAAAGAGGTTAACATGGGAACGGCCCCCCGCCCCCAACCAGAAGCCTTTCCTTGCAATTTGAAATGGAGCACTGTGTGTTTTGAATATAAAGTTGCTAGCAGGCATGAAGCATTTGTTTTTCTTCCCTTCCTAAATGTCTGAGGAGGAGGTACTCCTGGGGGCATTGGTGTGGATGGTTTTACTAAGCCGTGGTCATAACTGTCTGCTGGAGCGGAGCTCATAGGCTTGGTGACGAGGCCTTTCATGCACATCACTTGAACAGATGATTGGTCTTGAAGTGAAGACAACACCTTAGGGCTTGGGTGTGAGTGACCTGGACAGAGTCATCCAGTGAGCAGCAGAGCCCAGGAATACAAGGCTGCTCCCCAGGCCATGGGATCCCAGGTGGCCCCATAACACTGACATAAGGACAGGTGGGTACAGGCAGTCCCCAACGTTGTGCTGGTGTGCAAGTGAGACATATTCAATAGAAGCCACACTTTGAATCCTGATCTATTCCTAGGCTAGTGACACAGGGTATGATTCCTCTTCTCCATGCTGGGCAGCGAGTCAGCTGCAACCCCAGAGTGTGACCAGAGCTCCGCAGTGTGTTGTGCTGGTGGCCATGACATGGAGGTGAGAGGAGGCCACTGCACCTGTGGGAGGGCACAGTCGTCCTAATCAGGGCATCCACACTGGGCCTGCTCTGGGATCCTGGTGCGGAGTACCTCATGCCCCTGAACGTTTGTTGTACATTATGAGCCTCTTTTAGCCACACAGAGTTCAGTCCAAGGAGGCCACTCCTGGAGTGCTAGGCACAGAAGTACCTGCCACGTGTGTGTGCAGGAATGTCTGCCCTACCTGACCCTTGGGAGAGAAGCTGGGGATGGCCCAAATCCTCAGGCGCCAGTGAGTTCACCAGGCCTGCCCTGTGAGGAAACCCTGCAAAACAATAGGGCTCAGCTGGGCGAGGTGGTACATGCCTGTCATCCCAGCACTTGGGAGGCTGAGGCAGGAGGATCCACTGTGAGTTCGAGACCAGCCTGGGCTACATAGTGAGTTCCAGGTCAGTCTCAACTACATAGTGAGACCCTGTCTCAAAAAACAAAACAAAACCAAACCAAACCAAAAAAACAATAGGACTCACACTTCTGGGCTGGTGACCATTTGAGGGGAGTGGGCCTTTATCTCTTCCCACCAGCGCAGGTGATACTTTTGTGATAAGTGGCAAATCGTGAGGAAACTATCCTGAATTCTATGAGTTATTCTACAAATTACCCAATTTGAGAGGGTCTGTGGGAGCTGGGTCGCACCTCTGTTCACAGAGGTGGCATGTGACCTGGGACCTGCTGCTGGTGACTGGTGTCCTCAGTGGGGCCTCTTGGTCACTGCTCCCCATGCTTTAACTCAGCCCATTCAGCCGGGCCTACCCACAGTTCCAGGGCCAGACATGCCCCATTCTACCCTGAGCTGCCCTTCTGCCCTTCCTGACCCCAGAGCCAGGACATATACTATCTGATTGCCCTGTGTTCCGCTCCACAACCACCGTAGGCCGTACTCCCAGTGGAAACTCACCTCGGTGGTCTGAAGCCACTTCCACCTGGTGGCTGGGAGTTGCCGGTGAGCAAAGGCCCCTCGCCTCACAGTCCTCCTGTCAGGAGACTCAGGTGCATGGCCATCCAGCCAGTACCACAAGCACTGGCTGCTCATAGGTTCAGAGCGGCCCTGGGAGTGTGACGGAGCCTTCACAGCCGGGGTTCTCCTCAGGCCTTCCCTGACCTGAGTGTGGCACTGGCTGCGGGGCTTCTGTGGACATAACCTCAGACCCTCAGGGTTCCCTCCTCCATGTGTCCCAGCTGGCCAGGCTCTGAGGAAGCAGGCAAAGATCCTGAGATACTCTGGGGCTTGCAGCAAGTCTGGACACCGAGCCGAGTGAGGACATGAGAGAGCTGCCGGCTGCAGACTGTCATCTTTCTGGGGAGCAGACCATGCTCGGTCTTTTTTGGGCAAGGTACGGTTGGTGTATCGGCTCCTACTGAAATCTACACGCACACAGCTCTGAGACTTTCCAGCACCTGCTCTGTTCGTCGAATGGTCCACTAGCACACAGCCAGGTCATTTGTTCCCAGAGGCCACTTCCTATCACGGTACATGTAGTGTTAACAACATTTCTTTATGGCATATTACCGAAAGGGGCTGACCGTGCCCAAGGACAAAGGAGTTCTGGGGTCCCCAGCAGAGCAGAAAGAGGATTTCTGAGGGACATTTGATAAAATGTAGGGCAGTCTGAAGACCCTGAATAATAGTCAAGACATCAGGTCAGAGGGAAACACTAATGGTGCTGTTTGGGTACCCAGGTCACCAATGCAGTGGCTCAGGATGCTGGGCACACAACTGTGATGGGACAGCACCCTGGCATTCAGACATGATGTGAAATGCCCAAAGCTCAGGACAAAGAAGCTATAAAGGACAATGAGAACCACAGAGGTAGCCTTTTGACCACGATGCAAGTAAACACTAGCTTTCCTGTGTTCAGGCTGAAACATGGAGAAAAAGAGTCTCACAGGACAGAGATGTGTGTTGGGCACAAGGACGTCAAATGCTACCCTGGCCTCTGCCCTTAGCTTGTGGGCATCTGGCAGTGACAGTGGTAGGGATGGTACTGTTCAAGGCTTTGAGGCTTGGGCCTATGTCTGGTTGTGCCTGAAGCCCTGGGCTGAGGCCTGGGATGGGGCATTTTGGAGACCAGCAGGGAAGCAGGCACACCTGCCAGAGGAGGGTAGACTGCAGGGCAGCCCTCAGAGGGACAGTCCCCAGCTTGGCCCAGGGGCTTGGGAAAACCAAAGTCCAGTTGGGCTTGCCCCCAGGCTAGGCCAAGTACCTGTCCCACCAGTGCAGTGAGCAGGGACCTCTGCAAATGCTTCATGCCGACTACCCAGAGAAAGGCAGGACATCCCAGATGTGTGCAGCGGCAATGTGGTGGCTGGTGTGCTTCTTACCTCATAGTGGTAGTCCATGCAGGTGAGGTCCCACCAGCACTGGTCACCCCGGATTTTGATCAGGCCCTGTAGGGGTGAGAAAGCAGAGCATCAGGCATGGCCAGGACATTGCCAGGCAACAGCCTGGTAAGACCAGCTCCCAAGGATGAAAGTGGACCGTGAAAGGCATGGTGGCATGTGGCCTGTAATCCCAGTTACTCAGGAGGCTGAGACAGAAGGATTGAAAATTCCAGGCCAGCCCGGGAAACTTAGAAAGATCCTTTCAAACAAAACAAAAACCAAACCAAAACAATACTAAAAAAGTGGACATCTATGAGGTCAGAGAGCCTGTGCTGTGAAGGAATATGAACACTAAAAAGTAAAATTTAACAAAACTTTATGGAAGACACACTCGGGACCCTTTTTGTTTGTTTGTGTGTGTGTGTGTGTGTGTGTGGTACAGGAGATCAAATGTAGGGCCTTGTGTATGCTAAGCAAGCATTCATCCATTGAGCTACATCCCCACACCTTTTTATTTTCTATTTTGAGATATGGGCTTAAGTTGCCCAAAGTGGCTTTGAACTCACAATACTCCTGCCAAGTAGCTGGGATTACAGGCATGTCCCCATAGCCCTGTCTCAGCCTCCCTTAGCAGTGTCCAGGAAGGAGGCCAGCACACACGCCCTGTCCCTTCTCTCAAGCACCAACAGTATCATGTGGCTTATTTATAAGTCAGAAACAACTGTTTCCTGCTAGAACTAAAACCTTAGCCAGAGATGCCAAGATTTGGTTCTAACTTCTATCTCTTCTATACAAACGATGGTGCAAGGTAAGAAATGATTTTAGAGAAAGAAATTCCGTCTTCTCCAGAGACGGTGCTTCCTGCAGCTACATCCATCCCTGAAAAAGTTGGACTGGCTGTACTACCCACCCATCACCATCCACCTATCCATCATCTACCGTCCATCCACCCATCACCCGTCATCTACCCAGCCATTGTCCACCCACTCACCACCCATTCACCCATTCATCGTTCATTCATCATCTACCCATCCATCAACCAACTACCAATGACCCACTAACCACCCAACCCCCATTCATTATCTAACCACTCATCACACGTCTATCCATCATCCATCCACTCATCAGCTGTTGATTACTCATTCATCCATCTATCATCCATCAGCCCATCGCTTATCCATCCATCACTTACCTACCCAACAACATCCACCTGTCCATAATCCAGACACGGCCCATCCATCATCCATCTAGCCATCGTCTGCCCATCACCCGTTCATCCATGATCTATCCATTATTGATCCATCATTACCCATTCATTATCCATCCATCATCATCCAGCCATCACCTACCTATCCTTCTATCATCCATCCATCCATCCATCCACAAAACATTCTCTTCCACTAGTATCCATCCACTAACCCATCCATCCATCCACCCACTCATCCATTATCTATCCAATATCCACTTAACCATCCATCCATCCTTTATCTATCCACTCACCCATCCACCTACCTATCATTCACTTGCAGACCTGGACTGAGTGCCCATGAGGTCCAGGTGGGCGCAAAAGAGGCCATATTCTAGTAGGGGTGGACAGGCATGTCAGAGGGGCATGGAAAAAAGGTCAGTAGGGCTTTCCCCAGGCTGCTATAACAAAATATCACAGATGGGTGACTTATAAACAACAGAGATTTATTTTTCACAAGCTAGAAATCTGAAGTCAGGGGGCAGGCATAGTTGGTTCTGGTGAGGGTCTGTTTCTGGGTTGCAGATGGCTAACCTGCTATGCTCTCAGATGGCGGAATGAAGGTGAAGGGTTTTTCTGGGGACCATTTTATTAGGACACTATTTCCACTCACAAAGGTTTCCCCTAAAGAGATACTGGGTAGTATTAGGCCTCACCTTCTAACTTCATCACCCCAGGACTAGGATTTGAATACATGAACTTGGGGGAACTCATCACAAGGCAAACCTGAAAATAAACAGTTGACAAGGATGGTCTAAGGAGAAGGGGCAGCCCTGGTGAAGCTGGGGCCACTGTGTGACAACAGAGAGTACAGTGTGGAGACTTGGGTCATGAGTGTGAGCATGGCAAGGACAGGTGTGTACGGAGCAGAAAGGACAGGAAAGAACAGGGCGTGGAAACCCAGGTGGTCCCTGGAACCTAGACTCAACTCATGGTACATTGTGTGAGTCCAACCGCAAGAACGGCCTGCTGGGGCTGGTTAGAAAGTGCAAGATCCAGGCAGAGGCCATCAGGAAGTACAACCAGACTCCTGGGCAGGGGTATAAGGGACACACAAGAGGGACACCAGGCAGCTGAGGAAACAGGGGCTTTCCACAGGCTGGGTGAGACTGGGGATGGCGCACAAGTGTGAGAGCCAAGAGGGATAGTGGCCTGGCCCTGGAAGACAACTTGCTTCCAGAGGGCAAACGAGTGATCCTAGGGAGACCTGGAGAGAGCCCGGGGTCACCAGCGGGAACACCTGTGCATGGACTGAACTGTGCCACCACCTAAGTGGAAGAGGGCCACTTCCTGTTTTAGTGTTCAGGTCTCTAGAGTCCCTCAGGGCCCACAGGTGCCCGCCCCTGACATTACAGAAGAGCAGTGCGCAACACTGAGGGTCACATGGAGTCATGTTCCATGACCTGGGAACAATGCTGTTTAGAGACTTTGCTGGCTACGTTACCATGAGGACAAAGTCAGTCTGCAGAAACTGGTTTGCTCAGGTCATAGTCACTAAAAGGCTGCACCCAGACATAACTCCTGCCCTGCATAGCCCTGGTACGTGCACAAGTTGGATGTGTCCAGCCAACCAGGGTCTGAGTGGGTCTGTCACCCCGAGACTCATCCTGTATCCACCTAGGCAGAACTGATGGCTTCTTCTGCTAGGCAGGAAAGTGGGTGCCACATTGGCATCTGTAAGGCTGACTCGGCATCCCACATCCTTACAGAACCTGAGAGCAGGACTCTTTGGAGATTCAAACCAGGAAGGGGGGAAAAAACCCAAAATAATTAAGATGTCACTCAAACTCCAAGTTGATATGAGACACTTAAAAAGCTGAACCTTCCTCCAGGAGTACAAGATAATTATGCCCCTCCCTCAGCTCACTCCGGCATTGCAGATGTCAGATTTCCACGGCTCCTTTATTCCAGAGGAAGTGTCAAGGGAACAAAGCCCTCTTTGAGCTTTTTCCAGCCCAAAATCAATTTTGAAAAATGGCACAGACAGGCCACAGCATGCCAGACCCACAGGAGCTAAATGACCTACAGTTGTCCTGTGACCCTCCTGCCCTCTGCTTGAGAAAGACCAAGACGCTGGAACATTTCAGGCTAATAGAATATGTCTTGATTTTGCATTGAGTGGTGACACAGGTGCTTCTCAAAAATTCACCCTGAACATGGAGATGCCCTGGCCCCAAGCACAGAAATGAAAGCCTGAATGCTGCTTGGGATCCTTGGCCTGGGACATCGGGTGATGGCCTCTTCCTGCTCTGTGAGAACTTAGCTGGACCTCTGCTTCCTCGGAGAAAGAAGGCTAGGGGACAAGCTGTGCCCCTGTGAGTAGGCGCAGGGACTCAGGCGTGACCGGCAGCACTGCCTCTCCCTTTCAAGATCTGAGCTCCCACACAGGATGCTCACGTGTCCTGCAAGATGCCGCAGCTCAGGGCTGCAGTAACTGCCACATGGTTCACCCATGTGATATAAGCACATGCTCTGTGGCTTCCTAAGACTCAGTGCTCTCCACGTTTGGAGAGACCAGCTCAGGTGTCACCCAGAGCACCCTGTCCCTGCCAGACCTCAGGCCAGATCAGCCTTTGTGGATGAGGGAACTGCTACTAGAGATGGCGGTGTCACCCAAGTGTACTTAGGTTGCAGACTCACAAACTGCCACCACCAACTGCCCTTAGTTCAGCTGTGCCCAAGGGCTGGGATGTAGCTCAGTAGTGCAGCGCTTGCATTGCATGGGCAAGGCCCTGGGTTCAACTCCCAGCGGGGGGGGGGGGAACTGGACCTTAGGGGCTCTGTGTCCTAAGGGTCCAGTAAAGACCTGGTCAGATCACCCAGGACAGCCCTGTCCCTGTGAGTGGAGCCTCAGCACCCTCTGTGAGCTGCAAGTGGAAAAAGATGAGGGCTGTAGAGAGCCCTGAATGCCCTGGACTGAAGTCATATGCTGTAGTTCTACCTAAAAACCACTACCTCATAGCCCCAAACTGACCATGATCTAACAGTTTAGTGGGAGAAATAATGAAAAGAATGATATTTTCATTGCAGCTTGGTGCCCTTGAAGTACAGATTTGCCATAAACACTCAGAACTTTGGGGCTGGGGATTTTAACTGAGTGATGCTGCCGCCTGCCTCGTAAGCTCAAGGTCCTGAGTTCAATTCCCGGTACCAAAAAACAAACCAACAAAAACAGCACACTCAGAACTTTGTAAATAATCAACTTTTGCTAGAGGCCGCTGCCCTAACTTAAGCAAGTTACCCTACCACAAAAATTCATTCATTTGACTGTGATATTTTTCTTAATTTAGAAAAATCCAAAGGACTTCAGGGTCACTATCTTCCTTTTCATCAGACAACACGGGATTAAATGAACCCCTCGTGTGATCTCGTGAGCAGTCCACAAAGGTGTGTCTGGTAGGCACAGCCGGCTGCAGAAAACCCACCGGATGGAAACTTTCACACGCAGGAAGAGTAGCTGCTGGAGCTGTTTTGTGTGGTCCTGCAGTTGCTTTGAAAATCACCATGACAACGCTGGTGCGTCAGCGCCCCCAAGGAGGGGTGGCGAGGAATAGGGCGGGGGGGGGGTTCTTAAGGTCCTTGCCCACGTTAGGCGCCTGATGCCTTTTAAACCCCTGCGGAAGGCTGTTTTTCTGCCCCTGGCTGCACTGAGACAGAGAGCTGAAGATCAGAGGCTTGAAGGGGCCCCAGCTTGGGGTCGTGGGGTGGAGGTTTGCAGCTGGAGGCCAGAGGTCAGGACACTGCAGACATCATGTTCCAAAAATTCCCACCGTGTCTCTGAGCCGGTGTCAGAGGTCTGCCCTCTGCAGCTCTTCATGAA